CCCAGTTCCTCAGAAATAAGAACAATTGAAAATGAGGATTGCATCAAGTTGAAAAGCTTCAGCGCGCCAATGGAAATAATTACGAGTCAAAAGAAAACTTTTAGGATTGGGGAGGGTCTCCATGCAGCTGGATACCTCTGGGGACTTGCCCTGCTGACCACGTTTGCCTGCTTCCCTGGAGGATGTCATGTGAAAAGTGTTATAATCAGATTTGGATTTTACAATGGCCGCTGGGCCCAGTGGTTCAAAATGGCTCCAGGCAGGGCTGAGATTGGTGATAAGAAGGCTTGCCTGGGGTCTGTGGTGGCAACAGTGTGAAACTGATGGGGCTAGAAAGGGAAGGACCTTTGCTGGAGGGGATAAGAAGGCAGACTAGACAGGAGCATGGGATAAGAAAGGAGAAGAAGGCCTAAGCTGTTGGTTAAAAGCCTATTTTTTCCAGGCTACCCTCATTTCCTGTCAGATGGAGTCCCTGGAATATAGAAAGAGGGCTGTGTCAGTCAGTTAGCATTCCATCACTGTGACAATATACCTAAAAAATCAGCTTAAAGGAAGGATTTATCTTAGCCCATGGTTTTAGAGGTTTTAGTCCATGTTTGCTTGGACCTGTGGTGAGGCAGAATATCATGATGGAAGCTCCTGGCAGAGGAAACAGCTCACCTCATGGCTAGAAAACAGAGTAAGGATGTGTGGAGGTCCCTATGACCCCTTCAAGGTCATGCCCACAATGATGTCACTTCCTTTCACAAGGCCCCACCTCCTAAATGTTCCACCACCTCCCTTAAGATCCAACTTAACAAGGCCAACAAATAATTGCTGAATGAATAAATGAATGAAAAAGAAAACACATAACTAAGTTAGTTAATACAGAGGATTCTCAAACCAGATCCCACTGAGGCCTGTCATTGCTAGCTCTGAAATACAGTTTTGGTTTCATTTTCAAAGAAGTCTCACAGTACAGAGCCCAGGTTTCACCTGTGGCTATAGGCCACATGGATGGTGAGTTCATTGAGGACTCCTGTTGGGAATATTAACGCACAAACAAAATGTCTTCCTGTATCCCAGTTATAACCAGTTTAAAAATATATTAGAAAGACATCCATTCCATTTCAATGACATCAAATATTCAACAACATTAAAATCAAATTACAAAACAAACTAATGTTTAACTTTGAGATCATTCCAGGAGATAACCCAAAGGAACTTTTTGAAACTTGGCAAAATAGTTTTAAATTAGATCCAAAAGAATAAATAGCCAAGAAAATATTTTACAAAACAATGTGGGAAGACTATTATATAAATATGTTATGATAAATATGTTATGATGACTTTAGTTTAAGCAATGTGAGGTTAAAGCCAGATTTTACAAAGAGATGAATGAAAAAGAAGAGACACACACCAAAGCAATTTCTCTTATGTATATTAAATACAGCATAGATTTTAAATTCATGGAAAATTGTATTTGTAATAAATAAACTTCAGTCTATAAGTTATTTCTAGAAAAAAATGAAGACACATCAGTAAACCATTGATTCACTGTTTAGAAGCCCTCCCGTTGGGTAAGTCTGGAGCACTGATGGCTTGCTCACCTGAAGAGGAGGTCACTCTGTTGGATTCTGAGTCCTGCATCTGCAAAGCTGAGGTTAGGCAGAACTAACACCATCACCTGGTTGGCTAAGCTAGCACTGCCGACGCCAATTGGCTAAGCAAATGGTGAACTACTGATCATCTGCTTCCATGTCTAAGACAAGTGAGATAGCTACCCAGTTCATGAATCGTGCTGAATGTTAAACACAGTGCTGGGGCTGGCTCATGGCAAATAGTAGACTCATGAAATGCTACTAACCCCAGGCTTCATGCTTCAGCACGCTTTTGAATTCACAAAGAGCTTGTTCTCAGAATGGTCGTCTGGGGGTGTGGACCCCCAGATGTCAGGGTGTTTGCAGACAGCAAAGGCTTACCCTGGGGATCTGCGTAGGGCAGGGAGGGAACAGAAAGAAGTCAGGGTCTTTGCTCCATTCCCTGACTCATGTGGTGACACATGAGCTGGTTCTCACTTTAGGGAAGAACTACCCTCTTCAATTATAGTGCTTTTCCCTAGATGGCAACCTAAATGTGGAGTGCGGTCAAGGCTACCATTTTAGGACAGTAATTGGCCACTTTGGTCCAGAAACCCATCATTATGCTTCTCTAAAACTGCAGTGTTCTCATCATCTAAGAATATGCAATTCAGTGTGATCCTGTTGCAAAATGCCACTTGTTCTGACCATGAAAATAGCAGAGTACAGAAGATGGCAGAGGAAACGAGAGACCAGAGTTTCCTGCAGCCCAGCCGGGTCTGTAGTCTGAAGCTGGTGCCCTCACTCCAGTACAGAGAGGGGGCTTCATTTCCTTATTTCTCTCTGAACCCATGGGAAATCTGGATTCATAAGTTGGCAGCTTCTCTGGATAAATCTTTTCTTTTTTTTTTTATTTAGAGAATACTTTATTAGTTTCTGTAATCAAACCCCCGTAGATAAGACCTTACATATTTAATACAGTGCGTTACCCCTGTACAAATGGAAAAAAAAATTAAGTTTAACGTTTCTAGACCAATATGGCTATTAATTTCTGTACAATGCCAACTCAACACAGTAAACTGGGATACTTTTTTCCAAAGTTGACAGCACAGCTAAAGTTTCCAAAAATTCAAATTATATATATATGTATATATATATATTTATATTTATATAAAAAGACCAATAATAGCAGTATGTTATGCATCAATAGCAGCAACAGCTTTTCCAGGTTCTGCAGTCATCTGAACAAAATTATAGTCTTTTTTTGTTTTTTAATGAAAAACTATAGTGACATGTCTAAGGGATATGTGCTGTGCCACCATTCCTATGTTGAAACTGTGCGCCCGTTGGGATAGTGTTAGCAGGTGGGGAATGGGGAGGTGATTGGATTGTGAAAGTGGAGCCCTCTATAAGACAAGGGTACCCTTAGTGCCCCCTCTAGAAGGACAGGAGAGAGTGTTCTTGCTCTCTCTGCTGTCAGCGCTTGAGGATGGGGCAAGAAAACTGCCACCTGTAAACCAGAAGGAGGAAGCAATAATCTGTCCAAGAGCCTACCCTCCAAACTCTCCAGGACTGTGAGAAGTAATGTTGCTGTTTCAGGCAGCAGTCTGTGGAGTCCAGTTGCAAGGATCTGGGGCGAAGTGTTTCATAGTTTTATTTACCGCTGGAATCTTTAACACAGGTGCCATGTTAAATAAAGACAGGTTGGAGATTTAAATTTCAGATCCCCGTAGAACTAGGAACTTGGGGCTATCAAAGCAGAGCCCCTCCCACACCTGGGGTAATGTTCTGGAAAGAGTGCTCAGAGACAGGGATTCAGAGGGATAGGAGGAGTTTGGACTAGAACCAAGAGGCCTGCTGTGATCTTTCCAGCTCCTTCTTGATAACCTCCCATACCTCTGACTCCCTGTTTGTGAGGTGGCAGTAGAGCACCTATCCCACCCCCAGTTGGGGTGCTGGGATCACATCTGATGAACTGGACATGCTTTGTAAAGCGTAAAGTGCTATAGCCAAGATTGCCACAGTGTTCTGCTTGTCCGAAGTAAATACTCACAAATATCTTTTAAAAGGATAAACTCTTGTGGTCTTCTAAAAAGAAGAGAGAGAGCAGAAAGGAAGGAGAGGGAGAGGGAGAGATTTTCTCACTAACCTTCAACACTGCCTTGTCTCTGGAAGGTTCTGTAATCTGCATCCTGAATGATCATGGCAGGCTCTGTCCTCTTTAATGTTATCCAGGGGCAGGTTAATAAGCTCATAAAACACACAAATAATAAATAATAAATATAGTCATTGACCTAGACACAGTCCTTCCAAGAAGGGCACCTTTATTCCACTGCTTAGGGCCACCTTTCTCCTCACAGGGACATATAGCCAGGTTCTAACCATGGCCATGACGCCAAATGAGACATGTCACAGACCTCTTATTTCTACCCAAGACGTCTCTCTGGCTGCTACCCCTTCATCCCCCTTTCATGTACCACGTCCTGTGTCCTGGACACCCATCATCAAAGAGCACAAGCTCTAATTGTGAAGAGCCAGTTGCTCTTATCCACTACTTAGGAAGAATTCAGAACACCAGCAAGTCATGGTAGCATCCCATGCCTCATTTTCTGTGTGTGTGAAAGAAGGCATCTGTGCTGGACTGTCCAGGTAGTGACTCTGAAATGGAGATTGGTGTGAGATGGACTCTGCAGGCAGAATGAGGTGGGGATCAGCAGCTGAAAGGAGCAGAGTAAGAACAGGGCTGAGCAGAGGAAGAACCTCATGCAAATCAAACCGTGGCTCCACCTGTCTCCCAGGAGGCAGCAGGGAGGCTGGCCCTGTAAAACCATCCGTCCCAGAGTGGGACCTGCCTGGGACTGTCCACAAGGACTAGTTTTTGGACATGGCTGTTTCTGGGGAAGGACTCAGTTGGGAGCCACCAGCTTCCTAATCATTGGGAAAAGGAAAGCCTCTGTTCTGCAGGGGCCTGGGCAGCACCCCAGTGTCTTCTGCAGAGGGCAGCAGGCTTAGGAAGGATGGACTGATATAACCTCTGTAGAGCCCTGAGCACAGTGCCATCTGGTACACCCAGCAGGGATGTTCCAGTCATCATTACTCACATTACTATGACCATCGTGTTGTGTGGTGGTGTCACTAGGTTTTTTGTCTTCTTGACTTCTGTTCTACTCTCACCTGCTTAATAGACACAGCCATGCTTCTTGTATGTTTTGTCTTAGTATGTTTTTAACTTTGCATTCCTAGGCTTGAGCATAGGACTTGGGTCATAAATAAATAAATACATGTAAAATGGAAAGATGGATAAAGGCATAGGGTTACATGAAAAAGGGGACCCCACACAAGTTGCCCTAGGGACTGTCTTTGGGAACACTGGGTGACCCTACCCTGTCTTTATTATGCAGCTGATAACTGTGTGTGACCATCCCCTGATTTCTCTCTTAGTTGCACTGGACTTGTGGCATCCCCTGGCCCTGTCATTGGTAGTTGTGGATCCATCCATCAGGGACTTTGATGTCGCTCACATCAGCACCACTGCCACCAGCAACTTCTCTGTAGCCCGAGACTTCTGCTTATGGGGTAAGGGAGACATCCTCCTAGAGAGGGTTAGACAGGGTCTCAGTCAGGTGCTATTGAAGATTCTGACTTCAGAAGCAGACAGGATAGTCCATTATAACTTGGGGGACTTAGCAGGAAGGAGAAGACAAAGGGAATCTCTTCACTCCCTACTGGGTAGTCCAGAGTCAAGGTCTGCAAGGGAATCAGTAAACCAGCCAATGAGGGACCCTGAACTAGGAAGCAGGAAGATCCGAGGATGGAACTAGCGGTTGGTATGGGGCAGAAGAGATGCATGTCACCTTGGTGGCTATCCTCAGGCAGCAATGGGCCATCATGGTGGGGAGGAAGTACATCTGTTGGGGCCAGAGAGCTGGAGCAAAGCTAAGACCTATGGGTAAGACTCAAATTTCAATAGAAATCATTCAATGCAATTTGAAGAACTTTCTAATAAGCACAGATATCCACAGACACAAAATTCCTTTAGAGAGTCTCTAGTTATTAGTAACTCAAACAAAAGCCAGGTAACCACTTGAATAGAAGGTTCTATAACAACTTTTAGCTCTTAACAGTGGCTGAATTCAGGTGCATTTATACCTCTCCAAGATTCTGAACCCCTCTGGAATTCCATGGATTTCGTGCACCTCCTTCAATTGGATAGTAGTATGCACAAAGCTATGCTTATCATGTAGACTAAGCAACTATGTAGAGATGCGCAAGTTGTATGCTGCACAATGCTGAGTGGTGCTATTCAAAGACTGGTCTAGAATCGGGGATCTCAGGCCAAGCACAACTTACCCAATTGAATGAGCTCTTCTTAGTACCCAATGCCATGGCATAGTTAAAATTGTCTATGCAATACCTGGCTTGCTTGGGAAATGGCATAGTTCTTGATGGAAATGGCTACTATGCTGCAGGCTGTGGAAGCATTAAAGAGGGGCAGAGAGAGATAAAATTGAAGAGGAAAGAAGGGGAGCATAGAAAACCTTGACTACGAGGACCTCCTCCTGAAGCCCATGAGTTGTAGTGTTTTAAGCAAGGGACAGATGAGAGCACATTAATGAGTTAAATAAATTAAGAACCCGATTGTTATATAACAGCTGAGGAGATGGTTGGGTTCCTCCTACCACCATTTTATCCTCAACCCCTGGCCCAGTGCTCAAATGTAATAAGTGCTCAAATGAATCAGTGATTGCCCAATGAATAGATGGGTGGAAGGATTGATATATGGATGAGTAGATGGGTGCATGAAAGGATGGATGCATGCATTCATGGGGGTATGATTGGATAGTTTATGGGTCACTGGATGGGTGGATGGAAGGATGGGTGGGTGGAGAGAAAGATGGAAGGAATAATGGATGCAAGAATGAATGGAGGGAGGGATGGATGGATGCATGCATGAATGAATGTATACATGCATGTGGGCATACATGGTCACATAGCGAGGTAACATATCTGGGGCCTAAGCCTTACTCCTCCTCTTCTCTGCAGAATGTTCTCGTCACCAGGCCTGCCTTGTCACCACCCTGCAGACCCGCCCTGGGGCTGTGAGGTGTATGTTCTATGCTGATACCCACAGCTGCACATACAGCGTGCAGGGCCAGAAGTGCCAACTTCTGCTCCGTGAAGAGGCTGCGTACATCTACCGGAAGCTTGGTAAGTCCTGGTCTGGGCCTTTACAGCTATCCCTGGGGACATGGGGATGGCTGGAAAGGGCTATTTGCATGATAATTTGGTGGGCAGTGGCTTTTTCTGATTCTTAAGGGAGAGTTGGCCAAACTTACCTGGGCTAGGTGGCACTCACCTGTGGTGGACTGGAGGAAGGTAGGGAAAATTACCACTTCTGTGTCACTTTTATTCATTTATTCCTTTTGGTTGTAGAAGCCATTTTGTCCTTTGAGCTTCATTGTAAAACAATAAAATAAGCCACTTTTTGCTACTGTCTTGTGGTTTAGAAATTTTTCTCCATACCTGATCTCGTTTGGTGCTCATGCCAATCCTGCAAGGTGGCAGGATAAGCATTTTATTCCCATCTTGGAGAGAAGAGACGGTAACCCAGAGAATTTAAGTTACTTCTTGGACTTCACACAGCTAGTGGTAGCAGAGTAGGGACTTGGAGCCAGGTCTTCTGTTTTGCAATGCCTCTCTCCTACAGACTCACACTACCTGATGACCACATCTTAAGTATAGAACCTGTTACCAACTGGGTTAAGATTAAAAACATTCAGGGCTGGGGATATTTCTCAATATCTCCATATATGGAGTGCTTGCCTAGTATATATGAAGCCCTGGGTTCAATTCTCACCCTCCTCAAATAAAAGAAAACAGGAAAAGGAATCCATCAAATATGGAATTGTTATGAGTCAGACCTAGTGTTAGGTGTTGGGATACAGGGATGACACAGGCAAGGGGTGAACATCATGCAAATCCAACACTGAGGAAAAGTGGCAGAGCTACAGGTCAGGAAACACAGGAGCTGGGAGTGAGGAAGCTTCCCCGCAGTGGACATGTTCACAGAGGAAGGAGTGACTGCTATGGTGATGGTTGCTGCTGCCATCATGTCTCCTACAGAAGGAGGTCATGCATTTTCTCTGTAGAGTCAGATGATAAACATTTTAGACTCTACAACCACGTGCTTCTGTTACAACTATTCAACAGTCATTGTAGCATGAAAGTAGCAAGAAACAAAATGTCAAAGTAATAGACATGACTATGTTCCAATAAGACTTTATTGAACAAAACTGAGAGCAGTTCAATTTGGCCCCCTGCTCTGTCCTCTCTGAATGCAAGGGACTCTCTTTCTCCACCTGTCTTCAGACCATGTGAGAGTTTCTTCCAGGCCCGAGGAGACTGTTGTCTTCTATCTATCTGTACATTTATATTATTAAGTCAAACTGAATAGGTTTTCACAGTCCATTTAACCAGTGGTGTTATCTGTGTGGTGCTTCTGCTAAGAAATGGCTTAGCATTGAGGTTTGAGTTCTGTAAAACAAATTAGACTGTTTCTCTATTAATTCTGTGATGAAAGCTCACTTCCTAAAGAAGCAGCCTGCATATATGTGTATAAGAAAATACAGAGACTTTTCCTACCCAGGAGTCACATGGCCAAATATGTGGGTAGTTTGGAAGGGATCCACCATTTCTGCCAAAGAACTCAAAAGGGAAAAGTGCACATGTAACATTCTCCCCATGTTTGATCTCATGGGGCTCCTGGAAGGGCAGATTGAATGCCACTGTCTGTGGGAAAGCCAGCCTGGGTTCTCTCAGATCCACAGCCTTTGCATTTTTCTGGCTTAACTACTGCCTTAGGATGAGGCCTCAGTTGTGAAATGTGGCTGTTTCCTATAGCAGAAGAAAGCTTGGCCTGAGACCCTTTGATTTAAGATTGTAACAGGAAACCTCCTGAGAAGGAACTGGAGGAGGGAGGTAGTCATGATTTGTGATTGAGGCCAGATTAGAAAACAGCAACTCTTTCTTTCCATCCCAAGTTTCCATTTGTGATTCTAACTCATACTCCAGCGTGTTTTGGGATTCTTTTGCAATGTTCACTCTTTTCCTTTCTGTATTTTTTCTCTCACCCCCTCTCTCTTACCCTCTGTACTTCCCTCTTTTCTTCACTCCTTCTCTCCCTCTATACCTTCTTTATTCCATTCATGCATTTCCATCCATCTATCCATCCATCCATCCATCCAACCATTATATCTCCCTCCATGTATTCATTCTTTACCCATCCACTATCCATCAGCCCATCCCCCATCATCCCTCCATCCATCTTTCCATTCACACATGGATCTTCTGCCACTTACCAGGCACCAACTTGGAATATTTCCAGTATTACCATTTATTCTCAATACCATCGTGATGCTAGGCTGCTACCCTTCCTATTTCACAGGAAGGAGACCGAAGGTCAGGAAGATTACAAAGTTCTTCTAGTAAGCAGCTGTTCTATCATATGAAGTGCAGGTGTGCTTGACTCTCCAGACCATCTATGAGTTCTGCTTTACCCTGCTGATCCTCAGTGCCAGGAAGTCATGTCATGAACAAACATTATAACATTAACCTCAGAACCATTGCATTTCAGGCTAGAGAATTCTTTTTTGAGTGTATGTGAGAGAGGGAATGGGACTCAGCGCAACAGACTGTTCTGGCTATTGTAGGATGTTTAGGATCTCTGACTAGACGCTGGTAACATCTCTTCCCCACCCTGTGACAACTGAAAATATGTCCAGATGTGGTCAAATATACCCTAGGGACAAAATCACTTCCAGCTGAGAACCACTGCTCATAATAAGCTCTTAAAGAATGGATAGACTTCTGCCTGCCTGCCTGCCTCTTCTCCCACACTTGTCTCTCCTCTGTGACACACACATTTTTATAGAAGGGATTACAGAGAAAGCAGAAAGGCTTTGACTATCTACAGCCCAGAGTGGAGCTGAGCAGACTGAACCTAATTATTTGGATAATAATTGACTCTCTCTCTCTCTCATTCTCTCTCTCTCTCTCACACACACACACACACACACAAACACACATACACACACACACACACGTCTTCATGAGTGGAATGTTGGTCAGTTCCTTTGGACAAGGTCCCAAGTCTTGTTGGGAAGTTGTCATGGCCCTTTCTCAAGTCCCTAAAAACAGTACTTGGCACTGAACCTGGGTCCAACAAACATTTATTGACAATAAATGAATGAAAGAAAAAGCAGTGGTGGAAATAAGATAGGGTGACAGAGGAGCTGATAAGTGGCTGGTGATTAGCATGGGATTGCATGCAGGATGGATGAGACTGTGGCCACTAAGCAGGGGTGGCACACAGGTTGTTCTGGTCTTGACCTATGGACAGGAGAGAGGGACAAGAACACCCAGGGAGCAAGCCTGTGTGTGGGCCCATGGTAACAAAGCATAGGAGGGTAGCTCAGACCTGGCCCTGGCTTATATGAATGGGTTATGGTCCAGTTTTGGGTTCTGAAGGGGGGCTTCCAGGGCTATGTCACCTGTGGTCCTGACAGGTTACCTACCTGTAGCTTCTTATCCTGTGTCCTCCCCAGGGATGTGTAAATACAGCCCCAAATCCTTTAACTACACGCTGAAATCCAAACACTCTGAAAATTCATTTTTTAGTTTGTTTGGTTTTAGTGAATTCTCTGCAAACTCACTTGTTGGCAAAAATCTGACCTGATATGACTGAAGAAATCATATTCGTTGTTTGTCCATCTTAGTATGAACAATTAGAACATTTTGTCCTAGAAATAACTGATGTGTTTGATGACTGGCTCTACTCCAGAACTCCTGAGATGTTGACTGTTGCCCTCTGTGTGCCCTGGTGTCCCTATCCAAGCCCCTAGGGTGCAGGGCTAGGGGTGTGACCTGGGTTACACCCAGGATAATTGGGAAGAATCCAGGAGATAATCCATGAATAAGAGGAGTTAGCACCCTACTTTGCACATATTTGGTGCCTACTAAAGGTCAGCAGTCTCTGTTGTTATCTGCTGTTGCTCTTGACATTGAGAGCTAACTGACTACCAAAGGCATGGGTCTCAATGGTCTACTGACATTTCCCAGTAGTCCATTTTCCACTGCAAAAAAAAAAAAAAAAGCAGTGATTTTTTTCTTTCTGTTACTTAAAGTACACTTAGAAAACCAGGGATGAGAGCACTCACTGTCTCTCTCCCTGCCTGCCCTTTCTTTCCCATAGGTGACCCTCTTCTCCGCTCTGAATTTGCACCTTCTGTGTCCATTGCTACCCATGGCCAGCTGCTGGGCAGGTCCCAGGCCATCCAGTTAGGGACTTCCTGGAAGCAAGTGGATCAGTTCCTTGGAGTTCCGTATGCCACTCCGCCCTTGGCAGAGAGCCGCTTCCAGGCACCAGAACCCTTGAACTGGACAGGATCCTGGGATGCCACCAAGCCAAGGTAGGGGTTGAGTGGTATGCATTTGGAGACTGGGCAACAGATTCATGTGTTCTGGTTTGAGCAGTACATGGGCTGGGATGGATTAGTTAAGAGAGAATTATGTTTGTCAGATGGTCCTCAGAATCAGTGGATAATGCTATTCTGCTCATGGGAGGTCCACTGGTGATGGAAGAGCCTGTGTGCTCTGCTCCACATCGTGACTCTGGGACCCGGCATGCCAGAGGCTCTGTCTTCTTCAGCAGAAATCTTCCATGGTCTGCTGGCATTGCATCCAGGACAGTGTAGCTGTAAAAGCTTCTACAGGGAGGTTCTTGTGGGCTGGGCCTGGAGGTGGGTGATGTGTCACTTGCACCAGTGTTACAGTGGCCAAACGGTCCCAGCAACAACTGACTTTTTTTTTAAGTGCTGTTTTTCTTTCTCTTCTTTTTGGGATAAGGTCTCCCTGTGTAGCCCAGACTGGCCTCACATTTGAGATCCTCCTTTCTCAGTCTCATAAGAGCTGGGATTACAAATGTGTGCCACCATGCCTGGCCACACATGATTTTAATGGAACCAGAAATGCAGCATTGCAGGAAAAGTAAATGAGACACTGAACAAAATTTAACCCTCCCCAAATGGGACAATATTACAAGGAGTTTTGTTTTTCTTTTTAAAAAAACACTCATATCCTATCATTTCCCCTCATTAAAGATTTCATCTTGAATAGTTGACATATGAAGAATACTTAGTGACATTTCCTACTGAACTGCCATCAGAGTCCCCATGAAGAACCCACTGCACTACAACATGTCCCCCTCCCCTGTACCTCTCTACTCAGGTCCCAAAGTTCTGTCCTCTGCAGCCGTATCCTCCATGTCTATTGCCACCCAGGGTGGGTTGCTGGGAAGGCACACAAACTCTGGGCAGGTAGATCACGAGTGAGGAGGCTCCTGAAATCTATCCAGAAAGGGGCAATGAGGGACAATGATAGCAGGATGGACCTGGGCCACCACTAGGAAAACAGAGACCCAGCAGGCAGTAATTAGGGGCCTGCCATGTTAGGATGGACCCACCAGCCAGGGGACTTGAGTGATAATGATTGAACAGCTCTGGTAGCTGTAGCCAGGGCTAGTGAGATTTGGGGGTGAGTCAAATGGCCTTTTGTGTGGATGGCCCTTGTGCTGCCATTAGGCATGATCCCAGATGTGGTCTCAGCTCTTGTACCAAGAAATGCTCCACTGGCACTAGCTCTCTGTGCTGGCAGAAAAGGGGAATCAGACACCTCTTCCCAGCAGAAGGTCTCTATGTGAGGAGCAAGGAAGGGCCACAGTCCTGAAGGCACCTGCTATCTCCTTCTCTATTTCAGGCCACTGGTCAACATGTTTCCCTTTCAGGAGGTCAAGCTGTACCTGGAAAATGTCCCTCCACAGGCTGGCAATCAGAGATCTATGTATACCCTGCTGTCCCTTCCATTCCCTGACCACTCTGGTGGCTTAAGGAATTCTGATCACCACAGAGCAGGCTGGCCAGGCCTTTGGGACAGAGCAGTGGCTCTGGCCACTGTGTTGGATGATAAGAGAAATGGAGCATACCTCCTTGTTATTTTTCCTGAAAGTTACACGGTCTGTCCCTCTAGGGCCAGCTGCTGGCAGCCAGGCGCCCGCACACCCATGCCTCCTGGAGTCAGTGAAGACTGCTTGTATCTCAATGTGTTTGTCCCAGAGAACATGGTGAGTACCCAAGCACTTGCTGTATTTTCTCTGGAAACTTTCTGCTGAGAAATCCTTTTCCCCATTATGGCGGCTGTGGTTCTCCCCACCTCCCCTGACTCTGCCTTGCTGTGCTCCTCCAATGCTGTCCCCAGCCTCTCCAAGATTGGTGGAGGCTGAAAGTGAGCAGAGGGGCTTGAAACTCTCCAAGTGGACTCTTATTTGAGGGTGGAGGTGGATGAGGTGGTGGACTGTGACCCTGAACCCAGTTTTTTCTGTTTTGAAATCTGCATCTGCCTAAGAAGCCATGTTAGCACTCTGAGTGACTGAGTTCCCTGCTTTGAGGGCAGGGTTAGCGTCCACAAGAGAGAAGGCTTTGGAAAACATGAGTTTCTGGCTATGTTAATATGGTGCGTACTGAGTAACCATTCTAACCTTCCTAGTCCTCTCACTCTCTCTGTGCCTTGCCCTCATATCAAGGGTGGCTGATACCAGCCTGTCCTTGCTGGTATTCTACCAACATGACTCATTGAGGGCTTCAGGAGGGGCCCAGAGCTCACCCTGACATGCCGCACAGCTCCCAGCTAAGGAAGCCAATGACACCCAAGATTGGTCTCTTTTGTAACATTCAAAAACCCAATATTTGGAGAATCCATAGCCCTCACCCTGCCTGCAGGGGACAGCATCCAGGATAGTGGGATGAGGAGAGACCAGAACTAGAATTCAGGGCTGGTCTCTTTTTTTGTATAGATATGGTAGCAAGTGATGTCACTGCTAAGCCTGTTCACACCTGCATGGTGGGTGCAGATAGTCACACTCTGGGCCTGTTCACACTTGCAGATGGGTGCATACAGTGGCACTCTGAGCCTGTTCACACACATTTGTCTTCTCCCCATTTGGAAGTCAAGATCAAGGGGCAGCAGAGCTGGTTCCTTCCACAGCTTCTCCCTTTGGCTTGCAGATAGCTGCCATCCCCTACTGTTGTCACATGGTCTTTCTTCTGCGTGTGCTTGTGTCCAGTTCCCTTCGTCTAATGAGGACACTGGTCATATGGGATTAGAGCCCACATAAATGTTCATTTAGATTACTTACAAAAAACTTACATGTTTTACCTCCAAATACAGGCACTTTCTGAGGTACTAGGGGCTGGAACTCCAAGGTGCTAATTGAGTAGGGTTAAGTATGCCTCCAGGGTAGAATTATAGGAGGATTGTACATGGACTCATAGTCTGGGTCCTTTCAGGGAAAGGTGCCCCCTCAAAGTCTTGGGGTGAAAACAACGGTCTGAACCACTCGCCACTTCTCTCCAATCCCCATAGGTTCCCAATGCATCAGTGCTGGTGTTCTTCCATAACTCTGGTGAGGTGGAAGGCAGTGAAGGACAGCTGACCATTGATGGCTCCTTCCTTGCAGCTATTGGTAACCTCATCGTAGTCACTGCGAACTACCGAATGGGAGTCTTTGGTTTCCTGAGTTCTGGTGAGTTGCTGGAATTGGTGGGCACATTGTTGAGCTTTCCATCATTATAAAATTTACCTGTAAAGAGGAAAGGTTTGTTTTGGCTCACAGTTTTGGAGGTTCCAGTCCACGATTGCTTGGCCCTGTTGCTTTGGGCCTGTGGTGAGCATAGAGGAAGCACATCGTGGTGGCAGTGGGTAGCAGACAGAACCCCTCACTTCCCAACCAGGAAGCAAAAGAGAGGAAGGAAAGGGGGCTAGGGCACCCACAATTCCCTTCAAGGGAATGTCTCCAATGATCTACAGACTTTCCACAAGGCCCCACCTCTCAAAGGTTCCTCCAAGACTGCAACCCTGAGACCAAGCCCTTAACACAGGGTCTTTGGCAGCCTTTCAGATCCAAACTATTGCGAGGGGCTGCTCACCCCTGAGCTGAGGCTTGCTCCTTCCAGTGCTCCTCCCTTTGTTCTCCACATCTCAGAGCTGTTCTGCTCCCACTCCTCCTGAAGCCCAGTCGGGCTCATAGCACACAGTGGAATCTCTAGAACATTCAGGAGGCCTCCAGCCAAGCCCACATCCTCCTTAGGTGAGAATAACAGCTGCTATTTATTGAGAACTTGTTATGTGTCTGAAGCTGTTCCAAGTGTGACATGATGTAACGTGTGTGTGTGTGTGTGTGTGTCTTTAGGAGAGAAAATTGAGGCCCTAGGAAGTTATAAACTTTCTCAACGTCATGTGGTCACTACATTAGCAGAGCCACATTTCACAGGACTTAACTTTCCCTGGCCAGTTTTACAGAGGGACATATGATAGCTCTTCTGCTGCAGGAAGTCATCAGATTTGGGTAGAGGCTCTATCAACAGAATGATTTCTACTTCCCCTTATTTCTGGCCTCACTTGCAACATTGGTCCATCTCTATCAATGCACTGACCTCCATCCTCCCCACCAGTACAGAATTGAGACTCAGACCAACACAAACACCTTCCATTCATGCCTTCTTCTTCTCCTCCAACCACCACCATAGGACATTGAGGGGAGAGGCCTTAGAATCTGAAGAGTCAACATATCTTCTGTGCTAAGAATGGATGGGCAGGTGGAAGGGCTGAAAAGTGGGCTAAACTGGCTTGTGTGTAGTGGGTGGGTACTCAGCTCCCCAGTATAAGGAGAAATTCAGGGCACCGGGTTACAAAGGCTGTGTAGACAGAAGTGTGAGGCTTTCAGAGCCACAAAGATGTTACACTGGACAACAAGCAAGAAGATTTGCCCTAGGAACCAAGTAGTGAGTGAAGGCAAAGCACAGCCCAATGCCAGTGTGGGAGACATGAATGAAGAGTGGGTCTCAGGTTTTCCTTGGGAGGAGGGTTGGCTGGGACCTACGGGTACAGATGGCTTCCTGCTTCCTGGCTCTTCTTTCTGTAAGAGACGCTGGGTAGCGGTGAAATAGAGCATGGTAGCTGGAGTTTTGTGAAAGATTTGAGGAAGTATAAAGAACTAGTTACATGTGAATTTATGTTCTTTACAGAAAAGCTTCTCACTAGGCTTTCTTAGTCTTTTCAAATATAAGGCTGACAGGGTGTGCTGAGCCTGCAGCTCCTGCCTGGCAGTGTGGGCAGGTGAAATTCACAGCTCTGGTTAAAGCAGATCCCAGGGAGCTTTTCCCAGACACGATTGTCTTTGCTCAGAGCATTTCTAGGCAGAGGAGAGTGAGTTTCCCTATGTTCCTCTGTCTCCAAGGGGGTAGGGACTATGACCTCAGAGAGTAAAACCTGTGGAGAAATCTTATGCTTTTGGAGAGGTGAACTCGTTTTGGCTGCTGCTATGGGCAGCGTGTGGGGAGGTTATGAAAGCTTCTGGAATACCCAACCCTTGTATTCCTTATTTGCACCAATGCTGCCTGATCATTTTTTTTTTTGCAGCAAAAACTACTAGCAAGAGTGAGGGAAAGTGACTCTTTCCCAGTGCCTCTCTTCCCCAGATGTTTACCTGGTGAATTTGTTTACTTCTCAGCAGCTCTGTGAGGCTCTGTGGCCACTTTGCAGATGGAATAATGAGGCCAAGAGTGGCTAATGAAACTCAATTGTCCTGGTCACAGAGGTTGACAGGGCTTAAACTCTGCTGGTTGACACTGTACTGAAGCTCCTCCTCCAAGGTCCAGAAATGTCCTGTGGATCTGCTTCTCTTCTGGATCTCTCTTTTACCACAGGAAGCTTCCTTTGTTCTATTCACCAGACCTCCTATCAGGGCCCACATACCAGAGATTTCAGGTCTCCTAAGTTGGGCCTCCCTGCAGTTCAGCCCAGAGAATGAGCAAAGATGATAGAGGTCCACCAGGAAACTGAGGCACAGAGACCATGGTGGTGGAGGAGCTGTAAAATTGTATCGCAGATGGTCCCTGTCCTGTTTGCCACTGTAGACCAGTGACAGCAGGAGGCATCTGCTCACCACCTCCACCTCAGTTCACACCCAACAAACCCACGACACATGCACAATCATTCCTTTTTCCATTAAAAAAAGTCACAAATTTTATTATCTACAGCAGTTTGAAATGTACGGAGAAACTGAACAGAAAGTGCAGAGTGTCCTCATACACTTCTCCCCTCAGTTTCCCCTGTTTTTAATACATGCTTTGGGATGGTGCATTTGTTGTGAGAGATTAGCAATAGTGATGGATGATTATTCATAAAATGCATGCTTTGCATTCAGGCGCACTGTTTGTGTTGCACGTTTTGCTAAATCTTAATGCCATGGACCCACCATTCTAGCCTCCTGCAGAAAAGCTTTATCGCATACAACTCCTTTGTGTTCTACCTATCCACTTCCCCACTCTCCTCATTCTGTACAGTTGAAACTGCATTTCACCACAGAAGTCTGGAAAGAGCTGGGCCACGGTGGATTCCATTTTCAGTTAGCATCCTGTAGGGAGTTCAGGCTTTGCATCTGAACAAGACAAGGAGCTAGCTCCCTTGCTCCATGGGACCAGAGTGCTCTGGATGATTCTTACCCAACATAGACTGCCATGGATAGAAGATGCCAAGACTTGCAGGGTGGCTCATGACATAAATCATAGCAGCTCATTTGTCTTAGCTCACCCTTTCTTTCTCTAGCTAAGCAGGGGCTCCTTCCAGGCAGAACTGTGCTTTGTCATTTCCTTGCTGAGCCTCTGGCCTGTGGCCAGCACCAGGTGCCTCCAGATTACACAGGCAGTGGCAGCAGCCCTGGGCCTTCCCTGCGTCAGGCTGAATTGTCACTCAAGCCATATCTCATCTGAAAATGAGTTGCGTAACTGCTTCAAGAATCCCAGAATTTGGAAACAATTTGCAAGAGACTGGTGACAGATGAAAACAGAAGGTTCTATTGTGCCTGAGGCCCAGGGGACAAACTCACTCTCTGCAGAATAAAGAGCAGCCAAGCCCTAAAGGGCCTTTGTTCCTGTCGAGATGGGAAGCTAGAAAGAAACTAGGATCAGATATGGGCCAAGGGAGGTCATTTCCTACACATGCGGCAGATCTCAGGGGCATCTGACCCCAGTGATGATCCTTCTGTTCTGATAAAGCACACAGTGAGGGACCTGGGATGGTGGGTTCAGAGACAGAGGAGAGGGTAGACAACGAGCATGTAGACCTCAGCAGGGAGGGAGAAGAGGAGGTGTGTTTTGTCCAGGGAGCTGGACAAAAGGCCATCAGGGACCACACATTCCCATGGCCTCATCATCCCTGGGCACTCAGAGATAGCCACAAGGATTGCTGTCCTCTCTAACCAGAAAAACAGGCAGAGTCTGGCCTCAGCAGGCCCCCACATAACAGCTATGTCTGCTATTGAAGATGAGGCAAGTCCTGCTAAGAGATCAGCAAGACAATATTGGGACCTAAACCAGCTTCAGTTTAAGGAACAAAACCCCACATCTTCTATAGTGTCTCTTACCAGGCCCAGTTCTGTTGCCTTTATGAATATTAACTAATTTAATCATCAACAACCTAATGAGGCAGGTGCTATCACTGTCCCCACTTTACACTTGGGGAGAATCAAAGCCCACAAATGTGAAATACCCTGCCTGGGGCCCACATGGAGTAAGCACTGGAGTCAGGGCTATGCCCAGCCCCAGGCCCCACTTCTTTTACTGATGTCCATGCACTGCCTGAGTCTCACCAAGGGCCTCTTGCCAGGTATTAAAGAAACTGAGTAAGCAGCTAGAGCCATTCAGTTCAGACAAGGAGGGCACAGGTGAACATTTGCTGGGTGGTCCTGACCAGAAGGGCCCGGGAGGATCAGGGCAAGTGGGTAATACAGTGATAGCACAATGTCAGGCATCTTCCATTCACATCTGTCTCCCTACTGTCTGTAGGGCCTGACCAATAAGAGCAGTCCTGTCTGTGTCCTGTCCTGGAGACTGAGCAGGGTTACACATCAAGGGGACACAGGTGAAGTGTGTGTGCCTGTGCATGTGTGTGTGTGTGTGTGTGTGTGCGCGCGTGTACAATGACTGAGTGAGATGGGTCTGGAACTGAACGATGAAGAGGAGACCTGGGACTCAGCCACACACAGACAACAGGAAACCACATGGATGTGATGAGCCACCCTGGACAGTGCTGGGAGCCAGACTGACTGGACAAGACAGGTTCCTAGAGGATGTGAAAGCCAGAAGTAGTTCAGACATGGTACAGGAGTTTTGGAGCTTTGTGAGCAGAGGGTTCCATAAGTAGGCACCTAAGGCTTTGTTACCCAACTGATTTCTTGACAAATGTTTGTTGAATTAGACAAAGTCTTTTGCTCCCAAGTTTCCCTTTCCTTACCAGTTATGGACAGGCCTGGGCCAGGTCATCTCACAGCACAGTGGCTTGTTACCTGCTTCCTGTGTGCCTTGGGGCTGTGTCTGGGCTGGTTCTCCTTTTTCTGCTCTCAGCAGTGCCTAGCACAGGGCCTGGCACCAGAGGAAGCCTGGTTCATACCAGTTTGGTGAGGGCTCTTGCAGCACCCCCAGCTCTGGCCTCTTGAAGTCTGTAAACTTGCAATGTCAGCACTGGCCCTCATGCAGTGGAAAGCTGGCATTTGGGAAGTGAGGGTCAAAATACCCCTCCCCCACTGCTGCTGGCAGCCATGGATGTCACTTCCTACATTTGGAAGTCTTGGTCTTGCTCAGTTGGAGCCCTGCTTGCCCAGGCTGCCTTAGACCTAGGATAAAACAAACACACATACCTCGACAAACAGAACCCATGAGCAATCCAGAAAGCCCACAGTGAGGACTGAGTTGTGCCAATGGCTTCACCAGACCCAGAACATGAAACACACTTGAAATTCTGAAAGTCACCTATCTGGAACAATAATTTGTATCACTACTATGCACTGAGCTGCTGTTCAGTTCAGCTTTGCAAATTCTGGGTTGGACATTCAGGTTGCAAGATTTTCCTGGCTTTTTCTAATTGGGAGCATTTGACTTGGAAATCATTTCTTGCTTGATAGCAAATCTTGTTATTCATAACTGTGGTGCCCTGTGAAGACCTGAGAGAGGTCTGGAGCTTGGTAGTGGCCTGGGCTGCTGACAGGCTTGAGAGTCACCTCCATGCATTGGGAGTGGGAACCATGGGGTCTGCTGAGGTCTCTGAAGGCAGAATGAGAAAAGGAGGGTGTGAACTTCAGATTTGCCAGCATGAGGTGTGGGGTTTCAGGGTTTAATGCAGGAGGACAAGTTTGTGAAGCAGATTGACACAGAGGATGCAATGAATTCCAGGACAGTCAGAAGGGTAGGGTGTGCAGTGTCCCAAAAAGCTAAGGGGAAGTACATGTTTTCTGGTGTACTTTTTGTGTGTGTCTGAATCATTTCATTAAAAAATAGTGCTGGGTCCTCACCAAATAATTCTTGAATTCTATAAAAAGGGAGACATTGCTTCAGGTTTACACTGTTAAGGCCACAGAATATGAAGCAGTGGGATGGCATCCACAGCTACTTGGTCTGGCCTCTGTTTGAGAGAGCAGAATTGGGTTGGAGAATGGGCAGGGAAAACCTCCTCCCCTCAGATGGCCAAGCCAGGTGGAGAAACTGAATAAGCATCACTCTACCCTGAGCATCAACAGCAACTGGGGCTCAGGGAGGTGGAGTGTTAAGGTCTTCCTTCCAGCAGAGCTGGAAGTCAAGTGGGATTGTGTCAGATTCCAAAGCCCATGTTTTTCTCACTATCCTCCCACAGTGCTGACCTGAGGCATAAGAGAGCCCTGAGAGCCTTGTGCCTGCATAGACAGCACCACTATTGTAAATTATCCAAGTTGCAAAATCACAAAGGGTAAACAGCTTTCCTCTTTTATGCAGGCTCAGACGAGGTGATCTGGCAACTGGGACTGCTGGACCAGGTGGGCTCTGACCTGGGTGCAGACCTATATTGGAGCATTTGGGGGAGACCCTCACGTGTGACCTTGGCTGCGGACCGTGGTGGGGCTGATGTGGCCAGCCCACCTTCTCACAACCAGGACTACCAAGCCCCCAGGCTCTTCCAGAGGGCTCTGCTGATGGTGAGTGGCTTGCATTGCCTTCAAGTCTGCCCAAGGTGTCTCCCTTGCCTTTTGAGCCCAGCTCAAGAGACACAGTTGCTTGTGTCTTCTCTATCCTTTGTATTGACTGTGGATCCTACTATGGCTGTCTTCCTAGGTTATGTGTGATCAGGAAGCTAATGAGCTCCCTGACTATGTTTCACTTATGTCCGAGTGCTGAAAATTCTTGATGGTGAAGTTTCTCTGTTTCTTGAGAAGGCCTCAATGGGTCAGTCAATGAATGGAGGCCAAGAATTAGAACTTATTCACAGAGTTCTACCTATGGGCTGAATGCTTGCTGAATGATGATGACAGTGATGGTGATGGTAGTAGAGGCGATAATAATGGGGTAGTGGTGGTGGTGATGACGACGATGATGATGGTGGTTGTGGTGGTGGCGATGATGAACTGCTATTGATAGTCATCGTGATGATGACAAAAATTAGATGAAAGCAATAACTTGGCTGGTCACGCATAAGCCCTGATGTCTGTGTTCTGTCGTTGAGTAGCTTTAATTTTTGTGCATTCAGGGTGCTATGCAAGCTTCTGGATATGCTACAATAAATAAGAGTCATCCAGTCTCACAGGAGCCTTGTGGGGAACTGGGCAGAGGAGACACACTTTTAAGGCAGATATTTAATAAGGATCTTGGGGCAGGTCAAAGAGGAGGCCCTGGTCAGCATAGGGCAAGGAGGGGTTAGAAGATACATCCCTGAGAATATTCCATAAGCATCTGGTCTAAATGCCAAAGGTCCTGTAGGCAGAAACTACATGCAGAGTCCTGGTGATGAGGACTGGTAGAAGACAGAATTCTGCCAGGCAGCAGTGTGGAGGCAGAGGGAGCCAGACTGCACTGAGCCACTTGGGCTTTGTCCTGAGTGCATGTGGAAATACCTAAGGATTTTGTTTGATTTCTGTTCTTTGTTTACTGGTTTGTTTCATTTTAGGTTTTAATCATGTAAAAACTCTGATTTTGTTTATTAAGTATATTCCCAATGTTGTGTAACAATCTCTACTATCCATTGCCAGAACTTTTTCCATCATCCCAAATAGAAACTCTACCTACTAAACACTCCCTCCCTATTCTCTCCATCCCCTAAGCCTGTGGGAGCACTTATTCTACTTTCCATGTCTAGGGTTTGCCTACTATAGGGACTTACATTAGCAGAGTCATACAAGAGTTTTTTCTTTTTGTGTCTGGATATTTCACTTAGCATGCCATCATCAAGGTTCATCAATGGAAGAGTAAGTATTAGAAAATCCTTCATCTTTAAGGCTGAATAATGTTGCAATATGGGATAGATTAGGTAGACATACAGTTTTTCCCCATATGGCTAAACATGCTGTTAAACATGAGGTGCTGTCCAAAACTTTCTAAGCAGGTGAGAAACTGACTTAGACTTCCTCTGCAGGAAGACTTCCCCTAGAACTGAGTGGAGAGTGATTTTAAGAGGGGATGCTGAAAGCAGAGAAGCAATCAGGAGACTGAAGTAACCTAAGCTAAGGAAAGATGGGGAACCACTAAGACCAGCACCATGGGCTGAGTCCCTCATTGGCGCACTAGCAATTCTAAGACCATGTAGCTGCACTCCAGCTTTTCCTAGCCTTCCAGGAGTCCACATCTTTGATGAGGAAGGATGGAGAAGATCTTTGTAAGGCCACAAGTGCCCCTGGATTGACCTTGTCACCATTCCTGAAACAGCAGAGCCCCAGCCACTTCTCCTGCCTTTGTCAGCCAAAGGAGCTTTTGATTCTCCTTGGTTCCTTCCACTCTCTCTGCCTCATACGGGTTTTCCTTGGCATGGGAGACCTTTCTTCCATCCTTCTCCTTGCCTGCACTCTCATCAATAGGAAAGCCTTTCTAGCTTCTCAGTCTAGAACTGCGACCTTTTCTATGGCTTATGTTGGACTATAATATACAGCATTTGGTATGATTTCTTTTTTTTTTTTTTTTTTTTTGTTTTAATTTTTTTTTTTTTTTTTTTTTCATTTTTCTTTTATTATTCATATGTGCATACAAGGCTTGGTTCATTTCTCCCCCCTGCCCCCCCCCCTCCCTTACCACCCAATCATCCCCCTCCCGCTCCCCCCTCAATACCCAGCAGAAACTATTTTGCCCTTATCTCTAATTTTGTTGTAGAGAGAGTATAAGCAATAATAGGAAGGAACAAGGGGTTTTTGCTGGTTGAGATAAGGATAGCTATACAGGGCATTGACTCACATGATTTCCTGTGTGTGGGGTTACCTTCTAGGTTAATTCTTTTTGATCTAACCTTTTCTCTAGTTCCTGTCCCTTTTCCTATTGGCCTCAGTTGCTTTAAGGTATCTGTTTTAGTTTCTCTGCGTTAAGGGCAACAAATGCTAGCTAGTTTTTTAGGTGTCTTACCTATCCTCACCCCTCCCTTGTGTGCTCTCGCTTTTTTAGTGGGAGAGTGATTTTTAAGAGGGGGATGCTGAAAAGCAGAGAAGCAATCAGGAGACTGAAGTAACCTAAGCTAAGGAAAGATGGGAACCACTAAGACCAGCACCATGGGCTGAGTCCCTCATTGGCGCACTAGCAATTCTAAGACCCATGTAGCTGCACTCCAGCTTTTCCTAGCCTTCCAGGAGTCCACATCTTTGATGAGGAAGGATGGAGAAGAATCTTTGTAAGGCCACAAGTGCCCTTGGATTGGACCTTGTCACCATTCCTGAAACAGCAGAGCCCCCAGCCACTTCTCCTGCCTTTGTCAGCCAAGGAGCTTTTGATTCTCCTTGGGTTCCTTCCATATCTGCTCTGCCTCATACGGGTTTTCCTTGGCATGGGAGACCTTTCTCCATCCTTCTCCTTGCCTGCACTCTATCAAATAGGGAAGCCTTTCTAGCTTCTCAGTCTTAGAACGAACTTTTCTATGGCTTATGTTGGACTATATATACAGCATTTGTATGATTTCTATCCAGTAACTAATTGCTCTTAGTGCCAGTCTGCCTTGATCACATGATGAAGCTGCAAGAGCAGGGATGATTATGCCTTGCTCTCCACAGGGCCCTGGGTATCCCACTAGGGCCCTGGGTATCCCACTCAGCACACTTGCAATGAGCATATGCTCCACATATGAAAACACAGGGAAGTTAGTGTGCAGGTACTAAACCGGTGTCCTAATGTTGTTCTCAAAGGCCCAAACCCACAGGCTGCTCACATCCACTGCTGTCACCCCTTTCCTGTGTTTGGTTTTCTTCACTCTGTCCCTCTGAAGTCTGTCCATCTTAGTGGCAGGGATTTGAGTACAAACAGCTTTCAATTACTGGTGTTAGAACAGAACTTCCTGCTCTGAGTTGATCCTGGAGGGATTTCTCTAGGGTCTTCTGAATCACAGACATACACTAGGACCAGGAAACACCCAAATGCTTCAGAAGGTAGACTTTTCTTTTTGAAAGGTTTTTTTGGAGCATTAATGTGTATTGGCAATTTATCTTCAGTTAAAATCTTAAAGTTCTTTGCAAATCTGGAGCTGGAACTGTCTACCATTGGTCAAAGAGAAGCATGTGATAATTATGCTAAACCCTACATCAGATTAGCATATCTGGGCCATGAAATACTTTGTTATCTTATCCCAGATTTCTCACATTGATTGGCATAGGGTCTTTATTTATTTCTATCTAAGAGATAAGAAAATATGAGATTCAGAAGGTTATTTACCTACAAAGAATATTCAGCAAAGAAAGAATGAATTAGGGTTAGAATCTAAAGGCCAAATCCTATCTTCCTACTTTATCAGGCTGTTATGGCAAGAACTATGGGTTTCAAGATGTAAAAGAAAGTTCCCCAAACTAGTATCAAATGGGTCTGCATTAAGATCACGACCTTGGGCAAAAACCTTCACTTTGCATTCTTCTATAAAATTGGTCTTATATAATTATATCTCCAAAGGACTTGACAATCGTTCATGCCATAAGGTTTACAAGGTGTTCTGCTTGCCACAGGGACTCATAAATTCTAGCTCCCCTTCCCTTGCAGAGGAAAGTCACCTTCTAAACCTCAAGCAAGTCCCAAGGTATTTCACCCGCCCTAGGCCAGCTTGGAGGAAGATAAGTGACTTGTTTGCAAGCATGCCATTCTTGCAGACAGGGCAGGTTTAGGGGAAGGCAGACATTGGCATGTGCTCTGGGATTTAACCCAGGAAAGGTTTCCCACATTGTCCACCACATTGTTCCTATTCTGTATTCTGTATTTAGCTAAATTAGCTAAATTAGCCTGCTGCTAAATATCCCTGCGCCTTTTGCTGCTCCATTCCTACACGATCCTGCAGGACCCCTCCACCATAGGCTCATTTGCTGTCACCATTCCCATGAAATGCTTTACCTCTTTCTAGACCTCCTGATGTGCACTGAAAGGTCCAGTGGCACTGGAAGTTTCCTCCCATCCCTCAGGCTCATCCAAACTAGAGCCTTCACACCTTTCTCTGTCTCTCAGCATGGAAGAAATCTCACCTTAGAAAGAGACTTCTACTTACAGTTTTTAGGAATTCTGCCTTATTTTATAGATTCGTTATTTTCTTAACACGTCGATTCTGCTTCTACTATAACCAGATGCTTGAAAACGTACACAGCACATTGATCAGCAAACAAAGACTGAGAAGTAAGGAGGTCAGCTTCATCTCTTGGCTTCATTGGGTTTTCTGTGAAGTACCTCATCATGGCAGATGGCGGGTTTATTTCTGCACCACTCTCTGCTTTGCTGTTAACAAGAAGACCCAACACCAAAGCAGCTTATGGAATGAAGAAGCTTCTCGTTTCTTTCTCTTTCTCATAACAGTTCCTGAGGTGAGCAGTGCAGGCATCACACAGGGCCCCTCAGTTCTTCTATGCCATTTCTTGGCCATCACTGAGGACCTACCTACACCTCATCTACAGGGCTGGATTTGGGCTGTGGTGGATCCAGACATAGGGGGAATAGGGAAGGAAAGGGCCATCCCCGCATTCTAGATCTTGTAACACAGGGC